AAGTAGTTAAGGGGAGTTATTTTAAGGTCACTTATGCAATAGTTAGAAAGCCAGTTGAATTATAATAGTTATGGCCTAGAAAGCCAGTTGAATTATGATAGTTATGGCCCACAATTTTATATGCACTACTTCCTTCTCAACTGACTCACCAGGAAACCTACCCATCAACATGAGAACAATAAATCAAAATGCAATGAAATGGATGGAAATTTGTTTTTATTGCAAAAAAACGTCCAAAATTACATTTATTTTGAAATTAAAAAATATTTTCCCCCCTAATGATGTGCCCCTCCAATTGTTGCACTATAGGCCAAGCATATTAGTTAATATACCCCCGATTATTTGTTGTACTAGTACCTAGTACCATCGTTACAAAATAAGTAGGCTTAAATCTCATCAGTGGGCCAACAACAGCAAAAAAAACAAGAGGCCAAACATAAGTACTAATTTTTTGTTGTATATTTTTTACTTATTATTATAAAAGAACCTAAAATTTAAAAACTAAAAACTTATTAGGTAAGAAATGAAATAAAAACTTCACCAGGAATTATGCTTGTGAATATGGAAACTTGAGCTACGTGGGATTGTAACAGAAAACTACAATTGTTTATCCTAAATAGCTTAAGATCATAACAGTAACAGTATACATCTGTTTATACTTAGTTTATTGTTTTATTGCCCTTTGAACTGTGTCTAACTAATAATCCAAGGTACAAGCTGTAAATTATTCAGCAGATTGTAACAGAAAACTACAATTGTTTATCCTAAATAGCTTAAGATCATAACAGTAACAGTATACATCTGTTTATACTTAGTTTATTGTTTTATTGCCCTTTGAACTGTGTCTAACTAATAATCCAAGGTACAAGCTGTAAATTATTCAGCATGCAGTAATTTTAGAAAGAAAGAAAAAAAGATAATTTAAATATATATTTTTTTTTGTATAAAGTTGGTGAAATTAACCAAGTCCATATAGAGTTAGTATAGAAAAATTAACAGATAAAATATAGTTTTATTGAAAAAACAACAACAACAAAAATCATTTGATATTTGTTTAGTTGGTTTTACAGGTTATGCAAATGAAATTTGAAAACTCTAAGATGAATAAAAATATTTTCAATCGTGACATGAAAATCACCTTGCACTCAAGACCATTCGACACTCTGTCTTCATATATTCACAGGTAAATGTTTAGTGAAAATACTTAATTAAATATCTAATTCATTGTGTACAGAAAACTTGTTTACTGAAAGCTTGCCCAATTTCATGAAGATACATTACGTACTTTCAGAGTTAGAGTATGTATACCTTATTAAAAAATCATGTAAAATACATGAGCCTATGTTCATAGGGTTAACCAGTAGTGTACGTTTCCATCTAGCAAAAACTAAGGTAGAACTTAACTTCAGACTTTAGTTCTCTTAAGAATACAGTTTTGAGGATGTTGACAACTTCTTAATTCTGTAAAACAGAAGTCAAAACAGCATATTTTTCTTTAAAAAAATATGTTCTTCAACATAATTACAGATTACAAAGCTCTGAATTTCTTAGCCTTTCAGAATAAAGTTTAAAAGCACCAAGTGTTTTAAACAATCTCATGATGGTGCAAAACTCTACAAACTGTGATTTTTAGTTGATGTCATCCTACAATTTGGTTTGTTACACCAGGTTTATCATATTAGGAAAAGAAAACTTACTTAATTATCCGATTATTTTCAAACTCTTCAGACAGAACACAGGAATGAAATTCACAGTCCTCTAGTCGAATCCACTCCTCAGTAACTACAGGAATTATGTCATGTCGTCCAACAACCTCTTTTCCTTGTCTTTCTATGTCATTCAATCCTACTTCAATGTCAGGCATTCCTGAGAAAGTTCATTAAACTTCATACTTGTTTCAAGCATTGTTGTTTATCAATAATTCCTCCAAGGTTTTCTTGTAAACTTCATAATATCAAAGTAGGTGTTTTATGATAAAATTATATTTATAATTACACAAATGTATATATATATTTGTAATATTTTGAAACTTAAAAAACTTTTTAACATTTCTTACTCATGTTGTTTTTGCCATTTTTTATGAGCTAAAACATCTCTTTTACTATTGCTAAAATTTTATGCCTTTATTTATTAGTTTGTACAGTTATTTGGTATATTAGTTATTTGTTGAAAGAGAGGGAAAAAATAGCTAAAACATATACTATTTATTAGTTTATAATACTTAAGATGATAATAAATTATTCATTGAACAATTCAAACGTACACATTCAAAACATGCGCATGTTTTTTCTACTATTGGAGAAGGTTACAAACCTGTGATAAAAGCCAGAAAAAATATACGAACACGAGCTAATTGCTTGAGAACTTTCCCATCTTTGTCTTGATCCACTCTAAATTCATCATGAACTGTGACCTGAACTTCTTCTGTCTTGTAAGTAAGAGCTCGATCACGATGAACAGATAAATGGAACAGTGCATCTTCAACAACCTAACAAGAATAAATATGGTTAATTCTTTTGTTAATTGAAAATAAGTGGGTTCATTATTTAATGATTTACTGAGTAGTTAAAAAAAATTGTAAAACGTTATTTTTACAAAACATTAACTGTACATATTAAGGTATATTTAGATTTACATTATGACATAAAAATATTAAACAGTAACAATCTTTCAATCTTTCCTAAACTTATTTTAAATAGTGAAATGTAAGTTAAGCAAACTTTTGAATCTGGGACTCACTCCACTTACTGAAGTAGGAGATAAAAACAGCAACAAACAAAACATTTTTGATGATCATTTTAATTCAACTTGAAAAACCCTTATATCCTTTATCATATTTATTCATGAATAATAATTAATTTGGTGACACAAGGCAACAACTTGCTAACCATAATCTCACAATGAATAAAATTATAAGCACTACAACCTCACTCATTTTCTCTCATTTTTGATATATTTGACTTTGCTAAGGTAAAGGATTAATCTAAAAATCAAAACCAAAACACTAAAACACTATGATACAATGATACAAAAAGCAAAATTATACTGAATAAAGAATAATTAAAAATGTACTATAGAAGAAACAAACTGATTATCAACAAAACAGGTATAACTAATATAACAAGATGATCTCTCCTTTTCAAAAGAGGTTACTTCTTAGGGAATAAGAGTTCTGCTAAGAATTGTCAGTGGAATAGTTATTTTCACAGTTTTCCAAACAAACATACATGAAAATTATTTTTTTATTTTCAAGAAGTACCTCAACAAAAATAACCACTGAAAATATAAGAAAATTACTATCTTCAATATAGTAGATATCCAAGTTCAAGGCAATAAACTTGTATAAGGCAAGATCTGACAAATGTTTTTATAGTAATCTGTGTCATATTTTATTACAGTTTATCATGCAGACTCTTAAAGAAAAATGGTTTTTCTTACACCTTATATAAAAAAATCCACTAATCAAAAAAACTTCCTGGCATCACTAAGATTAAAAATGACCACACCACTGACCACACATTGGTCAGCACATAATATAAAAAAACAACTCTTCCTTTTCTAAATTAAATTATAAAGATAAATAAACAACTTTGTCTAAGGAATGCTGAGTAGAATTTGACAGAAGAATGATCCAATAAGTCCAGCTCTGCTAGAGATAAATTATAGCCAACTTCTACATACAAAACAAATAGTTTCAGGAACCTTTTCACAAATTTTCAAACTAATTCACTCTTTTTTTAGTATTTGCTTTGCAAATTTCACACAGTTTTGTACTTTTCCCTACCCTGTTGCACATTTTATTGGTGAAAAAGGTAATTTCTGGTGAGTCTTGTCTCACTCTTGACAACATATAACTTCCTGTTCAAATGCTTCAGCTGGTTACGCATATGGTTTTCTTGGATACCTGTGTTATTCTTTTTACCACATGATTGAATATAGATGGGTTTGTTTGAAGTGTATTATTAATTTGTGTATAACAATCTTAATTCTTTCAGAATAATGAAATTGATAAATGCAGAACTAACAACAAATGTGAATATCAAGTTTACTAAATACTGTGAAATGAGGGTTTTTCCAATGTAGCCTAGGTAGGTACACACATTATAACATTTTTAATGTATGACATTTTTTGTTCACTGAATAATTGATCTAAAATGTTCATAAATCAATGAAATGATTACCTGAATAAACATCTTGATGTCCTGGTAATTCTGAGATCCCAACTTCAAAAGCTGTGAAATTTGAGGTGAATGCTCAAGTGGTAATCCTAACTTTGCAATCTGTCCTACACTAGTAATCTGACCTTGCATCATTTTAGAAAGCTGGCCTGGGCGAACACCAACTCGTTCTCGATAAAATATGTACTGCAGCTTTACAGTGAAGATCTTACCATAGACATCATACTGCTGAGTTCCTACTTCTGATAATGAATAGCAAGCCTATGCATGAAAGAAATACAAAAAGAGCTATCATTACAAACATTCAAAAGTTAATGCAAAAATGCTTGGTTGATGAAGTATATAAAAAAGCATTTAAAAAAGTGTAATAAAACGTTTGAAGAAATGTAATGAAACACACACACAATGACATTTTTAAGTAGTTAACTGATAAAAATAGGCATGTCTTAGAAAATATATGATATTATAAGATGTGCAACCTGAGTCACAAGTGTAATTTATCTTTAAAAACAGGTCTAAGAAAAAAACTTGTTCAATAAGTCTCCATCTACAAAACTGTGTTCCAGTTTTTTGCAAAGAAAAAATTAATACACTAATACAACATTTTGAAAATTATTGTCTGATCATACTGGTGAGTTGGTTGTTTGGGGAGGTTCAAGAAAATTCAAGACCTTAAGTTTTATATATTTCTATTATAAATAGATGAGAAACTTGAATCAATTCTTTTTTATTTAATCCTGCAAAATTTTGTCCGAGTCTACCAATTCAGTTTAACTGCTTTACCATTTAAATGAAAACCTTTCTGGTTCTACAGATCTTCTAGTTTTGGTACCATTAACATGTACTAGAATTGCATTTGAGACCCCACTCCCTATATTAATAAATATATCAATGAGTCCAAAGTTCGAACATTCCTTATGGCAGCAATGAGCTAAGACAGTACTATATGCATTTCTTCTGTTTTCAACATTTTAGTTTAAGTAAGATTAATTAAGTACCTAACTAAAATGTTCAAAACCAAATGACACTAAGTGCATTTTGCTTGTTGGAAAAAATGTGGTTCTTAAGAAAAACTAACACTCATCTTATTTTTGTACCTTATTTTACAGTAAAGTAATGTATTTGGTACCTATAGCAAAGTTACTAAGGTACTAAAGCTATCTGCTGCTGTTTCTAATTATGAACTACTTACCCAGAAGGAAGGCTGTCACTCAGCAGCACCCTACCACCAATCATCAGTGTTAATCAAATGAGTGTCACTCTAACAATACACCCACAGCTAACAGGAATAATTTATGGTATCACACAAGTTTGAATCAGACTCACCAGCTCCAAAATCCAGAGCTCTAATTGTTTCAGACATCATTAATTTTGTCCATTAGATAACTTTGTATATTTTAAAATTTCATTACTGTAAATTGTGTATATTGGCCCTACAGGGGGCAACATTTTATCATAATACTGACAGTGTCATCAATTATAAGCTATCATTGCTCTAAAATCATTAAGTTTTATTGCTGAAAAAATAACAAAAGTAATTTGCATTTCAATCAAAACAATCTATATATATGCCTGCTTTAAAATTTTTCAGATAAAAAACTTCTACAGAATACTGCCTCTGAACTGTATGTGATCAAAAAATAAATTACTTAAAAGAAATTTATATACAATCCAACTTAATAGGCAAAAAAGAAAAATATAATATGGTTATGTAAGTAAAACTAATACTCAATACACTTATTTTGACCGTCGCCAACTTTTAATATACAAATTTCAGAAAGTAACACAAAATGAAACAAAGATATAAGAGGGCAAATTTTCTTGATCCACTTAAAAAATTAATTTTACCATTCAAAGAACATTTTCTAGTTTTGCTTTTTTTCCCAATATATCTTCATGTTTACATGATACAAAATTATGTACTTTATGCCTATCACCATGGGTATTCATTACTGCACATGACACAAGGTTTTTGTGTCTTGCATTCAATATTATATCAACGTTATACCAATTAGCATAGCATAAAATCTGTCTTAGCTAATAATCCATATTTTAAATGTATATAAGTTTAAGGTCTTAATTCTATGAGGTAATATTTGACAAAAATCCTGAATTTCATGCAGAGTGGCACATTTTCTCTAGGTATCTTCTCTTCTCTATTTTATCCACCACCCCTCCAAAATGTATGAAATGCAAAGTAAATTACTCACTATAAAATTGTCATTGCCCAGACAAACCATAATTTTTATAGCCTTCAATTTTGTTTGGTTACTGAGCTATCAAATAGAAAATCAGACCCTTCCTGCCACACCCACATGTTACATCCTCTCTCTCAGGATTTGTTAGTCTCTCACGTTTAATTATATATAGAAAGTGAAGTTTTTCATCTACCAAATGATGTATTGTATAACATTGTGTTCTTAACAGATAAGCATCAATTTCACTTATAACACACGGTTCATTCCCATGGGAAAGTTAATAACTAGCTTCCATGAATTTGTGACAGCTCTTGTCGCATAGTTAGAAAGCTAGAAAAAATTTTGAGTTGGAGGAAATTGTCTACATTTTGCATGTTATTAGTCTATGTTTTTGGTGCAGTATTTAACTAAATAAAAATTATTTAGTGCATTACTACCATTAGTATAAAAAATGTAGGGTTAAGTGTCATCAACAATCA